ATGAGTTTTGAGTAATAGACAAGAAGCTGTTGCGTCCTATTTCAAATTATGACACAAGGATGCATAGGATTCTGCAAAAAACAAAGTTTAACCTACTAGGAGAGGTCAACTACATGGATCACACAATGTATTCGATTTTGATTAAAGATATTTGACAACTTCCAATATCCTTCTTGGTCTCCTCCTCCCATCACAGAACTAAAAATCATAATATTTATTCTTCTCGGCGATGCCTCCAGTGGATTTCACTGTAAGTTTACAAACCACAACCAATTGTGTATCATTTATACTTAATTGGGGCTACACCAAACATTACTTGTATAATCATTGCGTATTTTGTCTTCTTTTTTCTGTACAGTCACACATCCATCTTAACATTCTCATTTCTATCACTCCCACCCTTTTCTCTTGCAGTTCCGTTAAAGTTCAACATTCATTACCGCAAAGTATAGCCAGTCTATAACAGTATAATAAAATTTGCCTTGGAATTTAACTAATGGTCTCTTTCCCCATTTCAGTAATCCTAAGCAAGATATTTTCTCTCACTTTTACTTCCTAGTTCTATTCCTCGTTCCTCGTTAAAATTGTAATGCATATATTCCACCTTACTCATACTTAAGTGAAAACAATTTGTTTAAAATGTCTGACTCCAAAGTTGTTCACGGTTGACTAATCCCCTCAATTCCTCAATCAAAACTATATCGCCTATAGGGAAATACTTTGGTAAGTTCCCGGTAAGCACTTCCAAAGCTAGATTAAACAAGTAAAGATTACAGGCTTGACATAACCCTATCTGTTACGTACCTGAGTACGTAAACTAGCCAAATACAACCGCTCACACTCTCACAGACAATGAACAATGGTAAATAGCTGAATAAACCTCTTTATTGAATTGAAATAACTGTATGAAAGAAAACAAACAATAACTGGGGGCAGGATCTCTGTCAATTACCTGAGAGCATAATCTCTCTTACAAAACTCACAAATCAAAAGCATGCCCTAAACCCTAGACTTCCCCCTTTATTTAAACTAATTATTTCCCACCCAACTTGTACTGAATATTAGAAAATAATCTTTATTTGCTATAATTAACTTATTCTGAATATATTTATCTTTATTTACTATAATTAACTTTTGCTGAATATACGCTCAAAATAGCTCTCTCCTTAGTTTCCCGCCCATCCTAACCGCTGCGGCTGTTAGGAGGCTTCCTTGCTGCTTCCAACCGTTCGGTCCGCACGCTCCCCGCCTTCCACCGTTCGGCCTGGTTGCTCCCCCTGATCTACCGTTCGGCCTTTGTCCTCTACCGTTCCGTCCCCTTCTCTTTCTCTCTTATACCTTCTTCTCTCATATACTTACCAACCCCTAACACTATCCTTAAAGGAAAATCTGTCTCACCTATTGGAGTTCTCACGTCGGTCATTACTTCATCATTGTCTTGTATAGCCAAAATATATGTCACATAAACACCTTTCCTTCCACAACACTACTTTTGGAACGCTCAGGTCAGTAAAAACCACAGGTAAGTTTCTTTACCATCCCATCAATCTTCGTCAAAGATAAATGACTTGCATATAGATCTCCTCAAACAAAACCAAATAGATTCACTACAATCCTCATCTCAATTTTTAATCCATGCTCCCCTTTTTGCACAATTTCATGATGTGGTTCATAAGTTTTATTTATACCTATAATCCATGGTGTATTAGATAAGTTCTGAAAAATGATATGGCCCTAAAACACCCCCAAATGGTTGAATAGTTTAAAATGAACATAACAAATTTCATTTTCATATGTAAAGTAGTTTTTCAGCAACAACCTTCCTAGCGTAGCAGTAAGGTTGATGCTTCATGACCCAGAGATCACAATTGAAATCCAGGAAACACCCAACCCCCTTGTAGGGGTAAAGGCTAGCAGGCTTACATTTACCCTCACTGGAACCCCTCAAAATTAAATTTAAAGAGTTTTTATATCATGGAAGTATTCTATTAGAGCTTCCTGGAAAGGACGGTGATAGACATCACTTTTTCATCGAGATATGACGCAAGGACTACCTCTTGTTTGTGGTCATTGGTTCGTTCGTTCTCCCTTCTTCATAACACTGCGAAAAGGTATGACAGACATAGGTTCAATTATTTCAGCACCATCATCCTCAAAACCAGTGGGTAATTCTTCCATTGTCTTATAATTCCACACCATTTTTTTAGAATGGACACATGAAATTCAGGATACCACCGAATTCTGTCCATGTTGCTTGAGCTTCAAAAATACCATTTCTCCTACATCAAAGCTTCTACCTGTCAGGTGTTTATTAGCTTGTGCCTTCATTTTACCTTGAGCTCTTAGCAAGTTATTCTTTAGTTGCCTTAGATCCTGAAAAATTATTTCCAAAACCCGCTCATAAATATTGAATCCCTGTCATTTACAATAGAATTTGGAATGCCCCGGAGTCTCACCACCTCCCTTACAAAAATTTCTGCTATCACCCTAGCTATATAAGGGTGTTTCAGAGGCACAAAATGACTATACTTTGTTAATCTGTCCACAACTACCATAATGGCTTTGAACCCTCTTGACCTCGGTAAGCCTGTAAGTTCCTTATTTGCTGAACATAGGTAGTTCAACCTTTTTCATCGATTGTCTGAATTCATCCAGTTCTAGTGATCTAAGGACTTCAAGTCACTTCCACCACTAGATGACTCCTTATTCTTAGACCCAACAGAGCTCTCTCCCTCCATGTGAGGGATTTTCTCACAACTACAAGTCATTAATTCCACTAACTTTGATTGGTTTATCGCAGCCTCTTTAAGCATCGTCTTTATCGCTGATTGGTTTTGGATTGCTTGGAGTCGTATCTTCTCCATGACAACACTCATTCGCTCCAATTCTCCCTTGACAATCTCAACCCTAGCATCCATGACTATTGTATTTTCTGGCTCCCCTGTTTTCACCTCACTCCCCTTTTTCTTTGGTGGCATTCATTGGAAAAAAGGGATCCAAAAGGTGTGACCAAATGTTACAAACCCACACCTTAAAAGCTTAGAAGAAAAAGAAAGGAATGAAATGAACATTGTGGTTCGTATTATTCTATTTACAAAAATAGGATATAGAAGGATAACAAATCCCACCCAGAGCTACGCTAGAGCAACACAAGCAATTCCTCTCCTCTATCAACCAAAAACCTGTCCTCAACTCTCTGCAAAACCAAATACAAATAGAATCTCTCTATTCCCCTCCCCGATTTCTCTCTCCTCTAACTTCCTGCCACCTCAGCCCTTGGGTTCTTCTTTCTCACGTATATTTTTCCCACCATGTCTTGGTACCTTCGTGGGCTAGTGGTTGAGGAAGCCCAGTCATTCTCTGGGCCTCATCCGCCTCTCTATATTATTATTTTAGGTTCATTAACCATATAAAAAATGTAACTTGGGAGATTGTTTGGAGCAGCTGAATATACCTTTTGTGAAAGATACAATTTGACTTGTTTTTTGGTTTTCCTTGTAAGAGATAAAGTATTTCCATTGTAAAATATGTCTCCTAATAATATTGTGATGCCCATTGTCATAGGAAGAAGAAGAATGTAACTTGGCAGATTGGTTGGAGAAGTTGAACATACCTTTTGTGAGAGATATAATTCAACTTCTTGTTTAGTGGTTTTCCATATATGAGATAAAGTACTTGCATTGTAAAATGATGTCTCCTAAGAATATTGTGATGCCCATTGTCACAGGAAGAAGAATATACAAATCTTTATTCTGAGGTTAGATCTTCTGTTATACTACTCATTAAATTTTCAGTTTGAGTTCCTCTCGTGCGTGTGTGTGCTTTCTTAGAGTCCTCTGTTTTAAGACATTAACTATGTCATGCCCAATGTATGGTACAAAAGTCCACATTTTTAAGTATAGTCCCCTGCACAATCAAATAAATTGAAGCATAGAGGGCCTACAAGACAATGGAGATCATCCAAGGATTTCACCAAATAGGGGCATATTTCATTTAAGAAAAACCAATGAGTAATGATTCACAAATAAAAGACATGACTTCCACTATGCGGAGGTTAACGAATGGAACATTATGTAAATAAAGATCATATTAAGCCTCAACATATTTTATAATCTTAATAAAGGTCATCTTGTAAATAACAAACATCCAAGTTATTGAAATAAAAAGAAAGAATTCAAAAATGCAGGAAAAACTTACCAGGATTAGGGAAAAATCTCCTTCTGTCAGTTGGGCATGCCACAAAAAGTGCATTTTGTGGATTGAATATTGCTTGGCATACCAGAAGAAACCACTCCCTTAGTACACCTGGGCCAGTAGCTTCCTCATTTTTGAATTCCATAAATAAACCAACATGTAGAGATTCAGGCTCAGCACGCGCTATGTATTCAAAAGACTCAGCCAATAACTGAGACCTGTCAATAAGCATCTCGTGCAACTCCTCATAGTCTTCTTTGACCTCTGGGAACATCATCATGGCCAAATGCCTTCTAGACTCAAAATTGGTCACAAACCTATGCTCCAGAATCCACTGATGCTCATCAGTTCTCTTTGCATATCGAACAATCAACAGACACAGCACATTTCTATGTCGCCTCAAAACACTCCAAAGCTTTTCTTCAGCACCATCATAAAGCTTAGAAATTTGATACAACTCCTTCAAGATGGAAAGATAGTGAGACCACCCAGGATAAGGATTATCCCCTTCCATCATTTCCTGGCCAGCCAAGTTCTGGTCCATTTTTTGAAGGCACTGGTCGATTTTGTTCAATAACTGCATGTACAAACAGTGAAGATATTCAATCTCTTTGGCGTGCAAGAGATCCTTATTACTTTTGTCTTGAGCCATAGAACCATTGACAGCTTGTTGCTCCTTGATTCCAGTTCTCAAAGGCACTAAGAAGGCAGTAAAATCCACAACATCATTAGACAAAGGCCCCACGGCTCTGTGGGATTCCATACTCGAGTCCAAGTCCATCAACAAGCAATTAACAAGCTCAAAAACAAAGGGGAAAATGTCCTTAATCAAAACTAACCCCTTAGCATNTAGGGAAATACTTTGGTAAGTTCCCGGTAAGCACTTCCAAAGCTAGATTAAACAAGTAAAGATTACAGGCTTGACATAACCCTATCTGTTACGTACCTGAGTACGTAAACTAGCCAAATACAACCGCTCACACTCTCACAGACAATGAACAATGGTAAATAGCTGAATAAACCTCTTTATTGAATTGAAATAACTGTATGAAAGAAAACAAACAATAACTGGGGGCAGGATCTCTGTCAATTACCTGAGAGCATAATCTCTCTTACAAAACTCACAAATCAAAAGCATGCCCTAAACCCTAGACTTCCCCCTTTATTTAAACTAATTATTTCCCACCCAACTTGTACTGAATATTAGAAAATAATCTTTATTTGCTATAATTAACTTATTCTGAATATATTTATCTTTATTTACTATAATTAACTTTTGCTGAATATACGCTCAAAATAGCTCTCTCCTTAGTTTCCCGCCCATCCTAACCGCTGCGGCTGTTAGGAGGCTTCCTTGCTGCTTCCAACCGTTCGGTCCGCACGCTCCCCGCCTTCCACCGTTCGGCCTGGTTGCTCCCCCTGATCTACCGTTCGGCCTTTGTCCTCTACCGTTCCGTCCCCTTCTCTTTCTCTCTTATACCTTCTTCTCTCATATACTTACCAACCCCTAACACTATCCTTAAAGGAAAATCTGTCTCACCTATTGGAGTTCTCACGTCGGTCATTACTTCATCATTGTCTTGTATAGCCAAAATATATGTCACATAAACACCTTTCCTTCCACAACACTACTTTTGGAACGCTCAGGTCAGTAAAAACCACAGGTAAGTTTCTTTACCATCCCATCAATCTTCGTCAAAGATAAATGACTTGCATATAGATCTCCTCAAACAAAACCAAATAGATTCACTACAATCCTCATCTCAATTTTTAATCCATGCTCCCCTTTTTGCACAATTTCATGATGTGGTTCATAAGTTTTATTTATACCTATAATCCATGGTGTATTAGATAAGTTCTGAAAAATGATATGGCCCTAAAACACCCCCAAATGGTTGAATAGTTTAAAATGAACATAACAAATTTCATTTTCATATGTAAAGTAGTTTTTCAGCAACAACCTTCCTAGCGTAGCAGTAAGGTTGATGCTTCATGACCCAGAGATCACAATTGAAATCCAGGAAACACCCAACCCCCTTGTAGGGGTAAAGGCTAGCAGGCTTACATTTACCCTCACTGGAACCCCTCAAAATTAAATTTAAAGAGTTTTTATATCATGGAAGTATTCTATTAGAGCTTCCTGGAAAGGACGGTGATAGACATCACTTTTTCATCGAGATATGACGCAAGGACTACCTCTTGTTTGTGGTCATTGGTTCGTTCGTTCTCCCTTCTTCATAACACTGCGAAAAGGTATGACAGACATAGGTTCAATTATTTCAGCACCATCATCCTCAAAACCAGTGGGTAATTCTTCCATTGTCTTATAATTCCACACCATTTTTTTAGAATGGACACATGAAATTCAGGATACCACCGAATTCTGTCCATGTTGCTTGAGCTTCAAAAATACCATTTCTCCTACATCAAAGCTTCTACCTGTCAGGTGTTTATTAGCTTGTGCCTTCATTATACCTTGAGCTCTTAGCAAGTTATTCTTTAGTTGCCTTAGATCCTGAAAAATTATTTCCAAAACCCGCTCATAAATATTGAATCCCTGTCATTTACAATAGAATTTGGAATGCCCCGGAGTCTCACCACCTCCCTTACAAAAATTTCTGCTATCACCCTAGCTATATAAGGGTGTTTCAGAGGCACAAAATGACTATACTTTGTTAATCTGTCCACAACTACCATAATGGCTTTGAACCCTCTTGACCTCGGTAAGCCTGTAAGTTCCTTATTTGCTGAACATAGGTAGTTCAACCTTTTTCATCGATTGTCTGAATTCATCCAGTTCTAGTGATCTAAGGACTTCAAGTCACTTCCACCACTAGATGACTCCTTATTCTTAGACCCAACAGAGCTCTCTCCCTCCATGTGAGGGATTTTCTCACAACTACAAGTCATTAATTCCACTAACTTTGATTGGTTTATCGCAGCCTCTTTAAGCATCGTCTTTATCGCTGATTGGTTTTGGATTGCTTGGAGTCGTATCTTCTCCATGACAACACTCATTCGCTCCAATTCTCCCTTGACAATCTCAACCCTAGCATCCATGACTATTGTATTTTCTGGCTCCCCTGTTTTCACCTCACTCCCCTTTTTCTTTGGTGGCATTCATTGGAAAAAAGGGATCCAAAAGGTGTGACCAAATGTTACAAACCCACACCTTAAAAGCTTAGAAGAAAAAGAAAGGAATGAAATGAACATTGTGGTTCGTATTATTCTATTTACAAAAATAGGATATAGAAGGATAACAAATCCCACCCAGAGCTACGCTAGAGCAACACAAGCAATTCCTCTCCTCTATCAACCAAAAACCTGTCCTCAACTCTCTGCAAAACCAAATACAAATAGAATCTCTCTATTCCCCTCCCCGATTTCTCTCTCCTCTAACTTCCTGCCACCTCAGCCCTTGGGTTCTTCTTTCTCACGTATATTTTTCCCACCATGTCTTGGTACCTTCGTGGGCTAGTGGTTGAGGAAGCCCAGTCATTCTCTGGGCCTCATCCGCCTCTCTATATTATTATTTTAGGTTCATTAACCATATAAAAAATGTAACTTGGGAGATTGTTTGGAGCAGCTGAATATACCTTTTGTGAAAGATACAATTTGACTTGTTTTTTGGTTTTCCTTGTAAGAGATAAAGTATTTCCATTGTAAAATATGTCTCCTAATAATATTGTGATGCCCATTGTCATAGGAAGAAGAAGAATGTAACTTGGCAGATTGGTTGGAGAAGTTGAACATACCTTTTGTGAGAGATATAATTCAACTTCTTGTTTAGTGGTTTTCCATATATGAGATAAAGTACTTGCATTGTAAAATGATGTCTCCTAAGAATATTGTGATGCCCATTGTCACAGGAAGAAGAATATACAAATCTTTATTCTGAGGTTAGATCTTCTGTTATACTACTCATTAAATTTTCAGTTTGAGTTCCTCTCGTGCGTGTGTGTGCTTTCTTAGAGTCCTCTGTTTTAAGACATTAACTATGTCATGCCCAATGTATGGTACAAAAGTCCACATTTTTAAGTATAGTCCCCTGCACAATCAAATAAATTGAAGCATAGAGGGCCTACAAGACAATGGAGATCATCCAAGGATTTCACCAAATAGGGGCATATTTCATTTAAGAAAAACCAATGAGTAATGATTCACAAATAAAAGACATGACTTCCACTATGCGGAGGTTAACGAATGGAACATTATGTAAATAAAGATCATATTAAGCCTCAACATATTTTATAATCTTAATAAAGGTCATCTTGTAAATAACAAACATCCAAGTTATTGAAATAAAAAGAAAGAATTCAAAAATGCAGGAAAAACTTACCAGGATTAGGGAAAAATCTCCTTCTGTCAGTTGGGCATGCCACAAAAAGTGCATTTTGTGGATTGAATATTGCTTGGCATACCAGAAGAAACCACTCCCTTAGTACACCTGGGCCAGTAGCTTCCTCATTTTTGAATTCCATAAATAAACCAACATGTAGAGATTCAGGCTCAGCACGCGCTATGTATTCAAAAGACTCAGCCAATAACTGAGACCTGTCAATAAGCATCTCGTGCAACTCCTCATAGTCTTCTTTGACCTCTGGGAACATCATCATGGCCAAATGCCTTCTAGACTCAAAATTGGTCACAAACCTATGCTCCAGAATCCACTGATGCTCATCAGTTCTCTTTGCATATCGAACAATCAACAGACACAGCACATTTCTATGTCGCCTCAAAACACTCCAAAGCTTTTCTTCAGCACCATCATAAAGCTTAGAAACTTGATACAACTCCTTCAAGATGGAAAGATAATGAGACCACCCAGGATAAGGATTATCCCCTTCCATCATTTCCTGGCCAGCCAAGTTCTGGTCCATTTTTTGAAGGCACTGGTCGATTTTGTTCAATAACTGCATGTACAAACAGTGAAGATATTCAATCTCTTTGGCGTGCAAGAGATCCTTATTACTTTTGTCTTGAGCCATAGAACCATTGACAGCTTGTTGCTCCTTGATTCCAGTTCTCAAAGGCACTAAGAAGGCAGTAAAATCCACAACATCATTAGACAAAGGCCCCACGGCTCTGTGGGATTCCATACTCGAGTCCAAGTCCATCAACAAGCAATTAACAAGCTCAAAAACAAAGGGGAAAATGTCCTTAATCAAAACTAACCCCTTAGCATTATCAGAACCAGCGTAGGAAACCCCAGCAGTTTCCAACAAGGACCCAAAGGTACTCCGGCAATAGAGATACAAAGGGTCATTAGTTCCAACTCTCCTAAGCAATTTACAGAACTCTAAGACCACACATGCACACTGCCCATGCAATGCCTTAGACAAGGTATTTCGGCAAGAACTCAAAAAGTGTCTAACAGAAGACTCAGCACAATCCTTGTTACCTGCATAAGGGGACACATAGAGCATAACAAGCACGTCAGGAGCAGAAGAAGACATGAAAATCTGAAAATACCCAGAAGCAGATTCGTTGTCAATCCTCGGAGTCATGTTCAAGTAACTGGTGATTAACCCCTTGATAGTCTTCAAGGAATCGTGAACAGTCTCACCACAGCAAAGTCGATACACGAGGGAAACCATGTCGTTGATAATTTGCCATGCCTGAGGGTGTTCAGTACTGCGCATGCGACCAACGAGTTGAAGATTGGCGTCGTTTTGAATGGAACATTCAGCGAGAGTCTGTTCCCACTGAAGCTGCTTCCCCCGATAAATTAATCTCTGTTCAAACACCGGAATTCCCTTCATGCTTTGGATACTCTCATGAATCGATTTCACGCTGTCTTCGGGGAAAGCCTGCATCACAATAGTGTTTCCGGCTGACATCATTCGCACAAAGAACTGGATGTGCGATCGCGGCTTCTGCGCGACCGCAGAGCAGCCGCTTCCTGCGGTGCCAGAGGCGCCGGAGGAGCTCGACCATGAATTCACAGCCTCCTCTTTCCGCATCCTCACACAGATTAAGTCCGAGAAATCTCCGTCATCTTCTTCGTCGAGTTTGCGTTTAGACGAGTGACGGTGATGATCGGTGGCGCCCCCGCTGAGGTGGTGGACGGCGGGGGTTTCAATCATAGACATTTAGGAGGCGCCGCCCCGAGTGGCTGTGTCAGACACAAGCCGAGTGAAAAGTCCAAAAAGCCATCCACGAATGAAGACGCACCGGTGAGTCCTGCGGTGAGCCGAGCCGAGCCAAGCAAGCCAAGCCAGAAACAGAACTGTGTCTCTGCAAAGGAAATTGGGTTTTGCCTTTGATGTTTTACCGTCTTCAGTCTCTCCTTCTTATCCATTCCTGCTTC